CAAACTTGAAAACCTTAAGGAAATGGAGGACTTTCTGACACCAAACAACCTACCTAGATTGGAACAAGAAGAAATTGAGACCCTAAATAGACCAATAACAATAAGGAAATCGACTACATAATAAAAAACTTCCTACAAAACAAAGCCCTAATCCAGATGGCTTTCCAGCAGAATTCTACAAGACATTTAAGGAGGAGCTGACACCAATCCTACTGAAGGTATTCCAGGCTATTGAAAAAGATGGAACTCTCCCGAAATCATTTTACGAAGCCAACATCACATTGATACCCAAGCCAGGTAAAGATCCAACAAAGAAAGAGAACTACAGGCCAATATCTTTGATGAACATAGATGCTAAAGTTCTCAGCAAGATCCTAGCAAACCGAATTCAGCAATGCATCTCAAAAATCATCCATCATGATCAAGTAGGCTTCATTCCTGGGATGCAAGGCTGGTTCAACATTCGTAAAACCATAAATGGAATTAAATACATCAACAGATGTCACAACAAAAACCACATGATTATATCATTAGATGCAGAAAAAGCTTTTGATAAAATCCAGCACCCCTTCTTGATAAAAACCCTTGAACATCTAGGCATACGGGGAACATACCTCAAAATAGTAAAAGCCACCTACGAAAAACCCACAGCCAGCATACTCCCAAATGGACAAAAATTGGAACCGTTTCCCCTGAAAACTGGAACAAGACAAGGATGCCCACTCTCACCCCTCCTTTTCAACATAGGATTGGAAGTCCTGGCTCGAGCAATCAGAGAAGAGGAGGCAATCAGGGGTATCCAAATAGGAAAAGAGGAAGTCAAGTTATCTCTCTTTGCAGATGATATGATTGTGTACCTTGAAAACTCAAAATAATCTGTCAAAAACCTCCTTAAACTGATAAAGGCCTTTGGCAAAGTCACAGGATACAAAATAAATGTACAAAAGACAATCTCATTTCTCTACACCAATAATAAACAAACAGAAACCCAAATAAAAAACACAATTCCATTCACAATAGTCACAAAAAAAATGAAATACCTTGGCATCTTCCTAACCAGAGACGTGAAAGACCTTTGCAATGAAAATTACCAAACGCTGCTCAAAGAAATCAATGATGACACAAACAAGTGGAAAAATATCCCATGCTCATGGATTGGAAGAATCAACATTGTGAAGATGTCCATCTTACCTAAGGCAATCTACAAATTCAATGCAATACCCATCAAATTACCAGCAACATTCTTCTCAGACCTAGAAAAGACAACACAGGAATTCATATGGAAACATAAATGTCCAAGAATAGCCAGAACAATCCTCAGCAAAAAAAAACAAAGCAGGTGGTATCAAACTTCAAGCTTTATTATAAAGCTACAATCATCAAAACAGCTTGGTATTGGTATAGGTACAGGCATATAGATCAATGGAATAGAATTGAGATTCCAGAAGCAAAACCTCAATTTCTCAACCAACTCATCTTTAACAAGGCCTGCACCACCTATCACTGGGGAGAGGAGAACCTATTCAGTAAATGGTGCTGGGAAAACTGGCTGACCACAAGCAGAAGATTGAAACAGGACCCCTATCTATCCCCATGCACAAAGGTTAACTCCAAATGGATCAGAGACCTAAATGCAAAACCTCAAACCATAAGAACCTTAGAAACTGAAGGAAATATCCTCATGGAAATTGGAACTGGCATCCAATTCCTGAACAAAACCTGAAACCCACAGGTCATAAGAGAGAAGATAGACA